TTTTCTAGACAGAGGGGAAGGGAAGGAGAAAGAGAGGGAGGGAAATATCAATTATGTGGTTGCCTCTTGAGAGTCCCCTACTTGGACCTAACCTGCAACTCAGGCATGTGCCCTGACTGGAAATTGAACTGGCAACCCTTTGGTTGGCAGGCCCATGCTCACTCCACTGAGCTACACCAGCCAAGGCTTACATAAACTCTTATTTAATCTATACACTAACTGGCGATGCTAGAGTTATTATCCTCATTTACCTATTAGAAAATCGAGTCTGAGAGAGGCTAAGTAAATTGCTCAAAGTCATACAGCTAGTAAGTGGGAGAGCCATGAGTTAATTTCATACTCCCAGGCCACTCATTACTCATTGCTGGTCACTAAAGATCACATGGGAACTTACTAGCAAAGTGAAGATGGGAACCAAGATTTTGATTCCCACTCCCATGACCTCTGCCCTGTCTCATTCACTACCTATGTTTATTTTAAAGCCTTCCCAGGAAAGATTCCACATGACCCCAGGTAATATCTCACTATTCAGAGGGCTCCAATTTTATGTCTGATGGAGCCCCCTGACCTGTTGTCTTAGTTTCTGTTCTTCTCTTCTTTAATACAAAGTCCCCCTTGGGTTTTTTCCATTTCTTAATCCATGGTGGTTTATTTTTTGTTTCACTATAATTCATTCAATCTTATAAGAAACATATCAGGGATCCAATGGAAAATTGGTCAAAGGCATAAAATAGCAATTTCTTACAAAGGAGAGAAAAGAGCATAATAACACATGGAATAAATAGCCTTACTAGTGAATTAAATAAGTACACATAACTGTTAAATCAGTTATTTTTTCTCTTTAGCCTAATGACTCCCGGTGTCTGTGAGGTTCGGGTAAAATGATTCTCTGCTGCTGGAGGTGTCCGTTGGAGAAATCTGTGCACAGTGTTATGGGATATATATCAGGGGCTGTACAAATGCTCCCAGCCTTCAACCCTTTACTTCGGTTCTTGGAAATTATACAGAGAAACAATTGAACAGAAATAAACCTAGATGTATAATATGTTCATTACAGTGTTGTCTGTAATTTTTTTAATTACAAAATAAAAGGAAAAAATAAGAGGAGGTTTAGCTTAGGGGTAGAGCATTTGACTACAGGTCAAAATAGAAAAGAAACCATCTAAATATTCAACACTGGAGAAGCATTTGAGCGAATGTTGGCATATTGACTCAGCATACGATACTGCATTATCATTTCAAATAATTCTCAGTCTGTGGTAACATGGAAGTGTTCATGCTATGACATGAGCTAAAAGGAAGCAGGGTACAAAATTCCATATTATGATGTACCTGTGAAATATACTAAGTATATTAACAAAATTGAAAGGATTGTGGATACTTTTTTTTCTTTTTTCAAAGTTTTTCTTTCAATGCTGATGTTACATTGCCTCTCTTGTTTAAAATAATGAGTACAAACGGTACAGGGAGTCGGAGCTCTGGATTGAGAGGTAAAGGATCCAAGTTTTCTTCTTTTTTCCCTAACATAAGATGCATTATTGACCTTTGTAAACCTCAATTTCTCAACCTGCACAATGGGTTAATACTAGTTTCCTTTGTCCCAGGTTGACAGAATGTTTATTTTATAAAGCTTTTAACTCACTATATGTAACAGTTCATATAAATTTGGTCATGGGGGAATGCAGGGTGGAGAAAAGAGGAAAAGATAAATAGGCACTAATTAATTTTACAAGGAAAGATCATCTGCTTTAATTGGAAATGTGTGTGTGCTGTGCTCCGAGTCAGAGTTTTAAGTGCACTCCTTGTTAGTTAGCAACTTCGATTTAAAGTGCTGTGTGATCCTTTGGGCTTTGAAGATATGAAACTTATATGCATACACATGAGCTAAAATTACCATGTACTCATGAGGCTGTGTGCACTCTGAATAATTAAATGTATTAAGCAACTCCAGCTGATGGATTGCCGATGTGTAAGAGTAGTGCAAAAACCACGTGACAAGTAAAATGATAAGACCTTTTGAAATGATGGTTTAGTTTCCAAGCTTTCTTGTTAACCTGTGCTTTCTCTTTTAGCCATTGCAAGCAAGTAAAAAAGATTTGATTATCTTGTTTCCTGTGAAAGGTTACTTAGCTCCTCAGTCCCATTAAGTCACTTTCTGCACTCCAGTGCACTCCACCTTCCCCGGGTTCTCAGCCCAGGAAGAGTAAATGGAGACACCAGGATCAGATTTCTAAAGGAAGGAAAGTTAAAGCAAAGTTTGAAAGGGTGACAGCCAACAGCCAGGAGCTTAGGAACTCAATTAGACTGAAAGACAACTATCTCATTATCTCGTTCTGAAATTATCTAAATACATAAGAATCTAAAAGTTTTAAATAAACTTGTCCTACTGATTGTCTAGATGACTGAATATCCCTTCTCGAAATTTTTTAAACACCCACTTTCGTATTTATTTATTCTAAGCGCGGAGCAGCTGCGATAATTATGCTGTCAGATTCAGTAAGCTAATGAGGAATCAGCCCCGTGGAAGGTTTTGCATTTGTGAGACTGCTGCAGGAAACTGCTCCGATGATTTCTTCCTTCTTTCTTTTCCTCTTTTCTTCTTTCTTTAATTTTCTTTCTTCCCTTCCCTCCCCTTCCCCCCCCCCCATGAATTGGGAAGGAGAATTGAGCAGTCTAGGGCCAAATTGGTTGGAATCCCCTTGGTTAACTGGTTGCTTTCCCAGAACTGTTCTGTCAGATAACATTATCTATCTATCTACCATCTATCTATCTATCTATCTATCTATCTATCTATCTATCTATCTATCTATCTATCTATCTATCATCTGTCTCTCTCTCTCTCTTTCTCTCCATACTCTTTCCATCTTTTCCTTACCCCTTTTTCTTCCCCTCACTCCATCTCTTTTCCCTCTCTCCTCCCTGTTTCCTTACTTTTGAGGGGCCCCTGCGTTGAGGGGCAAGGAAGCCCGAGGGAAATCTTCATGCCACTGTCCCCAAGGCAGAAGGACACTGCTCCCGGAAGGAAGTCTCCAAGATGGTTTGGACTTGAGTTGATATGAGAGTAATCTGTGAAGTTTCTGTACTGTTTATTTTAGCTATTTGAGTGTTTATGCTATGGCACAAGCTAAAAGGAAAGTAGAATATAAAATTGCATATTATAATGTACCTCTGAAAATGTATTATGCATATCAACAAAACTTAATGTCTCCCCTTTTCATCCTAGAGGATATGTACTTCCAAACCTACTTCCAGGGCCCTGTACTTCCAGGGCCACAGATTACTCAATGCCTAAATCTAGGCCGAGAAGCAGAGCTCACACTGCAGGATTATATCTTCCCTTCAGGTGTGAGCAGCTTCCAGCAAACAATATTATTAAGGCATTTTAGGCTTTTGGTGCACCAGATCTAGAAGTTTCTCTTTTTGTAAATTGTGCAATATTTAAAGCATCCTACATTTGTGCTCTCTGTGAGCCTGACAGAGCAATGCCCAAGTGGAAAAATGTCCTGAGCAGGTGTTGGATACGCTTTGTGACAATGTGGCTGTTGCCTCTTGCTGTTTTTCTCAGATGATGGCTATGTTGATGCTTGTAACAATGGCTACTACCAGCTAAAAATGTATCATGTATCAGGAACCATGCAATATGTTTTGCATATATCTTCTTCAAACTTAGTACAGTCTGCCAGGAGGTTTTATTATCCCCATTTTGCAGATAAGCTCCTTAAAATGTTAACTGTTGGAGGTCTTGGCCCATAGCTTCAGCACAGGAAGCACCCAGGAACAGCGCTTAACAAACACAGCCATTTATAAAAAACACAAACTGCCAGCACTCTCAACTAACCAAATGCATGAATCAGAGGACAAATGTAATACGCATATATGTTACAAAACATATATTCAAAAAAATTTAATTTACAAAAGTTACACTCAGAATCTATTTAAACAGGTTGCCTAATGTGTCTAATGTAGCATGATTTGAAATCTTCCTGCACGCCTAGCCCAGTGTGGTGCTCATTGCCTATCAGCACTGGCACAGATGTTCAGACTCCCTTGGTAACTCCCTTCACTGTGTAGTCCTAACCGATTTCCCCAAGGTTATCTTCTAGTGTGCCTTGCTCTAGCCATGCACAATTACTTACAATTTACTATTATTTTAAATTGATTTTGAGAGAGAGATTTATTATTCCCCTTATTAATGCGTTCATTGGTTGATCCTGTGTATGCCCCGACCAAGGTTCAAACCCACAACATTAGTGTATTGGGATGAAGCTCTACCCAAGATATCCAAGCTTTTGGAGTCTCTGGGCCACACCAGAAGAAGAGTTGTCTTGGACCATATATTAAATACACTGTGACACAATCACAAAAAAAATCTCATGTTTTAAGTAAATTTACAATTTTGTGTTGGGCTGCACTCATAGCCATCCTGGGCCACATGCAGCCCATGGGTGGTGGGTTGGACACCTTTGCAACTGAACTTCCTGGCCAGGGTCTCACTCGGAATTCTCTCACACACTTTCCTTCCTCCATGCCTTTGCTCACACTGATCCTTCATCCAGGAATGTCCTTCCTACAAGTCTTGGCTATGGACATAGCCATTCTTCAAGGCTCAAAAGGTCTTTGTCCATGCTTTCCCTGTGCTCCTTAATAGACTCAGAAGAGGGGCTGTCATGCACCTCACTTTTGATCTTTGTTACTGTGTGTGTCTCCCTGTTCTATTCCTAATTTTATGGTCTTTAACACCTAGGATAACAGTTGGGAAACCCCTTACCCAACTGTTCATTTGGTAAATATCCATTGAACTCTACTGAATAGGAGCCACTTGACAAATGTTAGTAGATTCAGTAAAGCAAGTTATCCATGAGTAAGTATAAGTTATTGGTGGGTAAGTATGGCTCATGTTTTGACATCTCTTCAGGTGACAAATATTAAAGACATAAAAAATACACTGTGGAATCCCAGGAAATAATATGTTGGTGGTTTTCTCTTTTTTTTCCATACAGAGGAGTCTTTGTTTACAGTTTCAGGAGTGAGACTAAAGCCAGAAATGTACCACCTTTTGGCTTCCTACCGGAAAGGTCACCACCCAGCCCAGTTTAGCAAATGCTGGTGAAAAGAAAGGGTGACATCACCATCTCCTTCCAGGTAAGGGGTTTCAACAGAGAGGCTGCTTATAGACAGAACTGAAAAGTGACTGAGGCCAGCAGACTGCTGAGCACCTCTGTTCTGCATCTGGCTCTTCATTCCTACTCCAGGGATAGGTTGCCTGGCCTCTTCAGGCTGTGAAAAGAGGGTGACAGCATGCATCACCTGCCTGTCCCACTCCCAGAGGAGTGGAAAGGCTCCTAAGACAAAATGTGAAGGTCTTTGTGAGGCCTTCAGCTGACATGTAGAATAAAAGATTATATCTGTTTTTATTGTGTTTCCTTAACTACAAAGTTTCCTCTGCCAGCCAACAGGCAAAAATCAGAGGTTGGGGTGACCCGCTGTCTCCATTTGCTTGACACTGAGAGTTGTCTTGGGAATGTGGGATGTTCAGTGCTAAAACTGGCGCAACTCCAGGTAAACCAGATGTTTTGTCACTGTGGTGGTGCAAATTTCCACCTGACCTGCCTCCAGGTGCCAGAAAAGACCCAGTTTAGAGTCTGGCCCTGCCCAGGAGATGGTCTTAGAGGCCTATGAGAATCATCACTGCCACAGGCTTCTTAGGCTACACCTTCTGCACTCAGGGTGAGTTCTGGAAACCAAAGGAGACTGATGGACGGGCAGGAGCCACCCAGCAGTCACAGTATCATAGACACAGCTGCTCTCAGGAGTCTCCTCAACCAACCACAGGTAGCCCAGCCTCCCCAAGTAATCTTGAGGAGAAAGAGGTGTTGTGAAGGATTTTTCTAAAGCTACCCTAAGGGTAGTTCTGCTGGTAGGCACCAAAAGCCAGGTTGGACAACTCCAAAAGCTACCACAGTGCAGACACCCCTGGATGTTACTAGAGCACTTCCCACACTAGGCCTTTCATGGTGGGCAAAGGGGAAGTTATCTAAATAGAGAAACCAAGGTGAGACCCATGCATGGAGCCAGCCAGCCAACTTTATAGGTGACCCTGGCTATATCCCAAGCCACAAACATCAGACTATGACTTGGCCACCCATTAGGCAACCACAGCTTGGCTGTGCTTCCTAACAAAACTTTTGGGGCCCAGATGGTCCCCACTGGCATACTCCCTACACCTCCCCCACACCCCAGCATTGTTCACAGGATGGATTTAGCTCTTTGCCACTTTGTTATAGCCATCTCTTTAGCTGTTGATATTTAAAGACATGTACACATCAAGGAGTCTCTTTTCTGGATCTTCTCAGATCATCGTATTTAGAAATTTAAAAATTATTCCTTAGAACTATAGCATTTTATGAAATACCTAAGTTTGTATTTTGTCAACATGCATACAACTGGAATTACAACAGGCAATACAATAATGTAGAATTGCCTGAGCAAAATATTTTCTAGAGCAGAGATTGCACATAAATGTGCAATCATGCCATTTTTAAACCCATGAGTTAGGAGAATAGAATTACTTTAGCTACATTCTATAAAGCGAAGGATTTGTACTTCATAAAATTATCAAGGACTTTGATGGAAATGGTTTCAGATGGCAGTGCTACACAAAGCATTGTTATCATTTCTATTGTTGTTATTTTGTTTTATTTAGCAACCAGACCCAGCCTATCTAATCAATAGTGACTTTTCATGAAGAATTGTTACCTGTAGATGTGAATTGGTCACAATAGAAAATCAGTTATTGGTGACTGTGCCAGCAATTGAAATAGGGAGGAGGCAGATTTAGCCTCTACTAGAGTAATTGCATGATGTCCCTGGGCCCTTGGTACTAATGCAAGGAGATAAAACCTGTAGGAGATGAACCACAAAAGGGGCAAGCTAGAGCAATTAAACTATTTAATAAATGGCTTGGGGTCAGTGATATCTGGAAGTGCCAGAATTGGAGAGACTGTAAGTGGTAATCAGTGGACACTTGGGGCCTATAAATCTTTCCCACTAAATGGAATTAATGTTAAAATATTCACTTTTCAGGAGATTTAAAATGTAAATTGGGATATTAGGATGTGTAACTGCCAGCTGTGCCTCAAAATTAACTCTTAAAAAGATCCTCAAAATGTCAGTTTCAGGGATGGTAAATATGTGTACTGATGTCTGCAGTGGAGAAATAGAGGGACACTATAATTTCCTGGGCACATACCACATGCCGGCACTTTACACATATGACCTCAAAGCTTGGTGTATTTTGAACAGTGGAGTGTGATGTGGTACAACTGTATTTTGTAGATCCAAAGACAGATTTTGGTTATTTTGTAAGTTTACTCAGTTCTTATCACCAGCAGCAAGATGCTGCTTCTGTTCTAATTTATTTTCCCCTTTTCTATCAATAGATATAATTCTGTCAAGAACTTTGCAATAACGTTACACAGGTTTTTCTTAATCTATATGATATCACTTATTTTGATTTTGTGTTTATTCTTCATTTATATCTAGGGCAACCTTACTGCTGTTTCCATTGTAATTTGCTCCAGCTTAGTGAGAAGCTTCCAAGTTAACTACACACTGGACCAGGGGTTTTACACTGTTGCCTGGAATATTTTCAGTATTCTAAATATTATTATGTACAAAGCAACCATACATAATACTTGAAGAAAAAGCAATGGAAGATTATTTCTATTGTCATTTGCCCAGAATTTCGCAGTGATGGGCTCAAAAATTAGACATCAATGGAAATTGTCTGAGAAGAGGACTTCTGAATAATTCCATCCATTTCGTCATGTGGTTGATCCCCGGGCAGGAAGGGCAATGGGACAGACAGGAGACTGACAATGGAAGGAATCTGTGGGCAGAGCTTGTGCTTCCAGAAGTCTGTCACCCCTGTGTTCACTTACGATCTCTCCCAACAAAAGGGCTTCTGTGGCAAGGAGACAATCAGTCTAAAGTTTAAAACAGTCTCCAGAGAAGATAGTGTCTTGGATAAAGCTGTCAACAAAAGGACTTGCTTAAGCCTCTTTGTTATGATTTCCTGGGGGCGCTTCTTCCTTCATTAACTGCTCTATCAAAACATTACCACCCTACCCCAGCCAGATTTTAGGAGTTTGGACTGAGCTGCTGGTTAGAATTAAATTTCAGGCTATCTCCTTTTACTGAATCCTAATCGTCTGTGATAATGGCGAAAGTGATGAGGAATCTAAGCTCTGATTTGATGGTGGAGATACTGAGTGGAAAGATAGGAGCAGAGAGCTCTGAAGGTGTAATTCAAGCCCTGTTGCACCATCAGACACACAGGCATGTACGTACACATGACCCTTAAAAAATGAGAGATTCATCTCAGCTAACACATGTATCATTTTCTACAATGATTCCTTCTGAAAGAAGCCAAGGAAACTCAAATTACTTTGTCAAAGGATCATCTACTCAGGAAATGTAGTAGCCTAGAAACCAAAGAACTTTATATATGTTTTAGAAGAACAAGGAGAAACTAATTAAGAGAGAATTAAAAATTAGTGCCTATCTACCCAAAATCTGAGATGGAAGAAAGGAAAATGTATACAAATAGTCCAAAGAAACTGACCTTAGTGAGTGTTTGATTGCTAAGGCATTTGACAAACCCGTGCAGATATACCTGAAATACAAAACTGCATGGGCTGGATGATGGGGCAGGTACGTGAGCTCAAAGAACAGTTATTCAACCTAGAGAAAGGCTGATGGTGGTGTGGTACAAGGTTCAGTCTTGAGTTCCATTCTGGTTGAATATTTTAATCACTCGGATAAAATCAGAGAAAGTGCACAATTTACTCATACAATTCATTAAAGTGAGTACTGTTATTATTAATTTATTACTTCCATTTTAGAAAGGAGGTAGCTGAGGCTCAAAGAAGTTAAATAACTCTTTCATGGTAGTACACCAGAATTAAGGTACAAAGCTCAGGGCTGGCTGTCTCTGGTATCGATGATCTTTCCAGTAATCACACACTTTATCAAATCTGTGGAATATACAACTCTTGAAGAGGCAACTGATACATAGTATTGGATCATGATTCAAAAGACTGAGACCTTTGTCAAAGCCAATGTGTACCACTACAGGACTGTTGGAATGGCCAGATTCCAAAACATCAACAACACCAAATGTGGCTGAAGGTGTGGAACAATAGGACCTCTCACTCACTCACTGTTGGTGGCAATGCAGAATAGTGCAGCTACTCTGGAAGACAGTTTGGCGGTTCCTTCCAAAACTAAACAAGCTCTTACCATATGGTCCGGCAGTGGCACTCCTTCATGGTTAACAAAATGAGCTGAAAACATATGTCCACAGAAAAACCTGCACACAAATGTTTATAGCAGCTCTATTCATAATAGCTCAAAGTTGGAAACAACCAAGAAGACCTTCAGTAGGTTAATAAATAAATAAACTGTGGTACATCCAGACAATGGAATATTATTCAGTGCTAAAAAGAAACAGCTATCAAACCATGAAAAGACATGGAAGAAACTTAGATTTATGTTGTTAAATAAAAGGAGCCAATCTGAAAAGGCTACATACTACATGATGCCAACTATATGACATTCTGGAAAAGACAAAATTATGGAGACACTAAAAGATCAGTGGTTGACAAGGGTTAGGAAGAGGGAATGATGAACAGCACAAGAGGATTTTCAGGGCAGCGTAACTATGTGTGATACTATAATGGTGGGCAGATGTCATTATAGATTTGTCCAAAGCCATAGAATGTACAACACCAGGAATGAACCTTAATGTACTCATGAACTTTGGGTGTTAATGATGTGTCAATGCAGGTTCATCAGCTGTAACAAATGTACATTCTGGTGGGGATGTTGATAATGGAGGAGGCTTTGTATATGTGGGGGTAAGGAGTGTATGGGCAATCTCTGTAATTTCTGCTGAATATTTCTCTGAACCTAAAAGTACTCTAAAAAATAAAGTGTTAAAAAAGCAAGTAAATAACTAATTTACAACAAGCCAGTACAACCTTTATTCCAATCAAATTTCATCTGATTTAACTTCTTACACTTAAGGTTTAAAATGTCAACAAGTTAAGTAAGCCTGTGACTTAGTGGAAATTGAAACTTTTAAGGACAATATAAATTAATAGCACATTTGACTCTCTACAAAGGATAATGCTAATACTTTCAAGTGATTTAAATGAAGGAATAAGATAGTTTCCCAGAGCAGGGAAATAGATTACTTTTTTACTGATGAGATCACATCAAAATTATTAAGTTTAACTCTACTCATCACACTTTCAAAGAAACACCATAGTGAAGTAACAATTTCTTGTGCATCTATTAGTTTACAGATCTAATCTTCCCAAGACTAAGAAGTAGATGAGAGTTATTCCCTGCTTCACAGAGAAGAACACAGAATCAAATTTAAATAACCAGAGTCTGATACTCAGACTCTCTTTTTGCACCCCAGCCCCAACCCTGCACTGTATGCTCCAAGAAGGGTTACTAGGAGAAGACAGGGCCTTGGGGACCAAGGCACAGGGAAGAAGAGCCCAGTAGAGAAAACCCAAGGGACAGAGAAAATCCTTCCAGAGGGTTGAGGGTTGTCTTCTACCTGGTGGCTGTAGAGCCAGGACAGACACATAGAAAGCTCAGAGATACTACTTTTGATACAGCAGGAAGAGTTCTTGAACAATTTCACCTGTCCACCAATGGAATGAGCTCCCTAAAATTAGTGGGCTTCCTCTGCCCCCAGAAGATAAGGAAAACTGTAGGAGGGTTCCTCATATTGGAGGTTAGATTAGCTGATCTCTAAGGTCCCCTCTAGTTCCAAGATTGTCTAATAATGACTTTTGAATAGCTATTGACAAACCATACTTGGAATTACAGTAAAATCCTCTTGTTACAAGAATAGGTAGATTTGTTTTATTATAAAAAGGGATTTTTTTAAAAAGTGGGAATTGTCAAATTATCTTCTTTAATTAAAATAGAAGATAAATTATGCCTTCACTTCCTTCTTTTTCTTTAATTGATAAATTTGCTTATTTAAAAACTTAATAAAAATTATATATAAAAACACCAAAACATCATTCCAATCTTCCTTCCTTGACTTTGTAAAAGGAGCTTTGCTGGTGTTTGTGCATATGATTTTCCTTCCATGCTTTTGTTGACTCCTTTGTCTGACATACACCTGACTTTTAAAAACATAATTTAATTTTGTTCAAGTTTGATATTTTAGTTATTTTAGTGATTCTTACTCACCTAGTATTTGTCTCCCACCCATTTTGGGCACCATAATTGGACCGCACTTCCTGGCCCTCTGGTTGGTGGGTAGGGCTGTATGATTAGCGCTGGTCGTGAATTGTGAGCAGAAGTGGTATGTGTCCCTTCTAGGCCGAGCATTCACTTGATTGCCTGTACAGGACCCTCCAGATCATTTGACCATTTCCCCCTGTTAGAGTGACCCAGCAGCATTCACGATGGTCCCAGAATGAAGACATGTAGAGCTGAGTCCCCAGAGGACATATGATGGATAGGTAGTGGGGAAAAATATGTTAATTTTGTTGCTTTAAGCCACTAATATTTGGGGGTTACTACGCAGGATAACCTAGCCTACACTGACTAGTACCAGGGCAAGTAAAATATATGCTTATACCGTCCAACATTGTAGCTACTGACTACATGTACATTTTTGCATTTAATTAAGGTTAACATTCCATTTCTCTGTTCCACTAACCACATTTCAAGGGCTCCATAATTACATATGGCTAGAGGCTACCATAATGCATGATGCAGACATATAATATTTTCGTCATTGAAGGAGGTTCTGTTAAACAGTGTTGACATGAATGCTAGGATTTTTATGAGCATTGGTAATACCTTCTACCATTTCTTGATATTTTAAGTGTGCATCTAATACCACCTTGAAGTTATTTTTTTTAAAGTTTCACCCTTTTAAAATGAAATCACTGAGAGTGTCCAGTAGAGGTTACCTTCTGGAAGAAAATAAATCACTCAGAGCTGTTACATTTTTTAGAACCAAAGGTCTTTTCCTGAAGACAACATTGACACAGAGGATTAACACCTTTTTGTTACTCTTAACACTTTTCATAAGTGAATTCCTGGATTAGTTTTATTTTAGTCCATCCTGTCTGAAGCTATCTACATTCCCTACTCCCAACTCTTTTCTATGCCTAAGTAGGTTAACAGCACCTGGTATAAGACCTTAGGTGTTCAGTAATGAATTCATCCAAGTTTATTATCATGCTTATAAAATTGTGTTTTTATTGTAAGGACAATCATTGGATATTACAATAAAATCTTGTGGGAGTCCAAAACTAACCCAAAATATAAACTAAACCTCCCCCATCTATTCACTAATTCATTCAACAAACATCTAGAAATACAAAAATGAACAGTTCCCTCAGGGTTCATATAGTCTACTGCAGAGTTAGATGGAAATAAATACAAGAGCCAATGATAACATATCAGTATGCCCTATCACAAAGGAGGTGACAGTTAAGCCTTGAAATACATGTTTGCCCAGCAGCAATTGAGGGGGTGAGAAGATAGCTCTATGTGAGGAAAATATAGAAAGAAC